TGGAGCCAGCGAAGGCCGATGTTATTGGTAGTCCAGCTATTACTCGATACCTCGATTCGCCAATCCCTAGGGAGATTTGTTTCAAACCAACCAGCGATATAAACGGAGCCTTTGAATATAATGTAGGGCGGCAGCGAATAGCCGTCAGCGCATATCGTTTCGATCGCAGTGACCCATTCGCGATTACCTAGCTGGAGGATTGATCGCCGACCGTAGTATTCTGCTCGTGTAACCACCGTTTGCGATGATATAAGGCCCATTGCGAATCCAGTCTCGTCAAAGTTGTAGATATCCTCAGGTTGGATACCGTTCTCATCAATCGCGCGTTGCACCGTCAAAAACCACTCTTTTATAGCCTTTGGATCCTCGTTAAGAGCGCGCTGGTAGTCATATCGCCTAGAGAAGCGTGTTCGAATCTCATCACGTCGTTTAATAAAATTTGATACCCAATTGATACCAACGGTCGGCGGAGGGGTAATTCCACGCGCTGCAAGAAGAATATCGGCCATTTCTCGTACAGTAGCACGCCTAGGCGCTGCTCCACGCGAATCCATTGAGAAAATCCATTGAATAAGCGAATCTTCTTCTAATTCGGTCAATTTATGCGAGTTTGCGCGTGTGTCATCGCGCGATACTCGGTGATTAAGACGCGCATGTAGTGTGCTGTAGGGTATATCGTATAGCTTCGCTGCTGCACGAATAGATTTGACACGGCTATTTTTAATATCATCAAGGGCTAGTAGGATCCTGCCCTCCTGATTGGCCGATTTCTGCGAAGATTCAGTTCGAATTGGTGGCATGGTAGGCGGTTGAATTAGGTAGGGTGGTAGGAAGACGCGATTTTGGGTGGGGTGATCCGCTCGCTTGTGTGATCCGCTCGCTTGTGAATCACGTTAGTAAGGGGGTTATTATAATATATACTTATTAGTGTATTTCTTAAGTTACTCCCTGTAGGGATATAAATACGTTTTTTGAACTATATAAGACCCTTAGGTCTAATACTCTAACCTTTAAATCTCGGAGTCGACGACTATATAGTAGTCTTTTAGCGCTAAGTCTCTAGGTCTTCGCCTTAAAGTTACCTAATAAGCTCCTTAAGGTCTGTACCTACCTTAGTAAGGTATACTTACTTAGAGGTATAAGCTAGCTTTACTTATATATTAGGGAGATAGCGTATATACCTAAGCTCCTTTTAATCGATTATATTAATCGATTTATCCCTATCTTCGTTTTCTTCGAAGTATAAGATATTCGAGGTAAGCGTACTTATAGTTAGCGACTAGACTATAATAGAATAGTAATTAGTTATCTACGATTCGCTAGCTATTTAGTAGCTTAATAACAAAATTAGGTTAATCTTATAATTACTTAAGAGCTAACGCTAAGAGGGTCTATCCGTAGGATTATTCTTCCTAGCGTAATATTTTATTATAAAATTAAATAGTATAAGGGCTAAGTACTACTATACTTACCTACTATTAAGCTTTAATTACTTTATAAAAGCTTAAAGGTTTAAATAGTTTAAGAACACTTTAATTAGGTATATACTCCCCTCGAGGTAGTATTACTAATATTTAAACGAATATATAATAGTAAATAGCTCCTAATCCGGTATTCTATAAAGGGTCTTTATCCTACTAAACTTCTATAACTAGAACGCTACTAAATATTATATCCTACTCTTATTAGGCTAAGAGAGGATCCCCACTATAGCACTATTAGACGTATTAGTCTCTAACTAAATAGGCTTTAATAGATTAAAGTATCGAAGGAGAGGCGTAGACTAAAAGGTAGCGATTAAGTAGTAAAACGCTACCCTTTCGCTAAGAGTTAGGTTAACCTAACCTAGCTTTTACCTATTTTTACTACCTTTTAGTAAGGCTATAAGAGGTAGTATAATATAAGAGTAATTCTTAATAAATCTATAATAGAAATTATAAAATCCTAGGAATACTTAGATATCCCTATATATTTTAGGAATCTCCTACGAAGTAATATTATTAACCTAGCAAGGGTCTATCGAAACGCTCTTAAGGGATATAACGAAACCTAGGAATTTAACCTAGTCTTAGTAAAAGGCGTACTTATTAGGCTTAGTATATAAGCCTACTTTCTATAGCTATTTAAGTACCTAATAAAGGTAGCTTATATATAAATCCCTATCTACTAAAAAGATTAAGATATTATTAAGATAAACTACTATAAAGGTATCGAGAATATCGTAAAGCGTAATATAGATATAGTTCTAGAAGGTTATAAGCGCGTTTATAAGGCTAAAGGGTATAACTATATATTTATAGTGCCTGTAATAAGTATAAAAGGCTATTTTCTATTCGTTGCCTTCCTTAATACGAATTTAGTAGTAGACGTCTTAGATATCGATCTTACTAAAGACCTTTAAGCTAGCGAGTTAGTCTAAGATCTCTAAAATAAGGGGTAAAGGGTAGCGATTCTTTACTAAAACCTTATTAAGTCCTTAGTAGTCGATATAGAGGTAGAGGCCTCTATTAGTTTTTAATATAAATAAAATAAGGGCTTTAGCTAGACTTTTAGATTTACGGATTTAGCTATTCTTAAGATTCTTGTTAATATATTTATATAGTTTAGCGAGCTCCTTTTACGATAGAGAGTAAATAAGCCTATATAGGACCTTCGCTTTAAGTATAAGGTTAATAGCGTAGTTATATTTATTCGATAAAGGTAGGGTCTTTAAGTTTTAGGATAAAAAGAACTTATTAAACTTTAATAGTTTAGGGGGTAATTAGTAGGGTTCCGGTATAGTTTCGTCGGTATTATAGTTAATTAGAAGCTATACTTTCTTAAGTAATTTAATAATAGCGAAGACGTATATATAATTTTTAGCTTTCTTAGTAAAGCGTATAGGTAAAAGGATCTTAATAGATAATATTCCGAACTACTAAAGGCTACTTCGCCTTATAATATAGATATCTAGGTTATAAATTATAGTTATAGAGAGGAGTATAGGGCTTCTTTCTAGCTAGGGGTCTTAATTAATTACTATATATAGGCGAGTAAATTAATAGGTTATACCTCTAAAATTAGTAGCCTTTAAGGGGACGTTCTATACTCTATAGGTAGGGGTTACTTATTTATTAATAGCGTCGATAAGGGGTATAATAAGTTTCGCTTAGTTAAGCTTATACCTTTTAATAAATTCGAAGCTTATAAGGTTAACCTTAATATAACTATTAAGGTTAATATAGGTTTTGAGATTATTTCGGGTAGTAATAGTAACTAAGATATAGAATTAAGTTCGGGTTCTTATTATAGGGAGAGATAGATCTGTAGGATTTAATCTATCTCGCTGTTGTTTCCCTATAAGGTAGATTATATAGTAGTAGTAGGTTTATCCTTTAGCAGATTAAGGTATTTATTAAAGTAATACTTTTCGCTTCTATAGTTAAAGTATTAGTTACGTTTCCTGTCCTCTCTAATAAGGTTTAGGTAGTCTTTTGTAAATATATTCTTATTAGTCTAGGGCTTTTAAGATCTTTTATTATCTTAGGTTCTCTTAATTAAATTCCTCTTTCGTAAGGGTTTATCTATAGTCTTTATATACTTTCGCTTTTAATTCGTTTTTAATCGCTATAAGTCCTAGAAGTAATATATAATATTAATTATCTCCTCGTAGGTCTCCGGGAGTTTTATAATATAGCGGCGGATATTGTTCTAGAGGTTATATAGAAGTTTTACGAAGAAGGAAAGGGCTCTCTCTTTCTTAGTTACCCTTAAGAAGTAGCGTTCTAAGGTATTTAAATAGGCGTAGAACTCTTATAGGTCCTTATCTTTTAGCTAGCAGGCCCTTTCGAGCTAGTCTATTACTTTAAATTAGAGACTAGCTACGTTCTTAATAAGGGTTAGGGTCTAGTCCTTAAAGTAGGGCTAATCTTCTTTAAGGTTTTAATTAATAATTAATACCTTTTCGTTAATATATCAGTACTATCTCTACTAATAAGTTATATCTATATAACTTAATACTTTAAGGATTTAGGTCTAACTATCGTAATCGCGCCTTAAATCTCCTTCGAATTACTATTAAAGGTCTAGAAGCTATTCTTGTTATTATTGTAGTAAAGAGTTAAGAGTAAACGTAGGAATATTTTTAAGCTTAATATCCTAACCCTTTCCTAATAATTTGTAAGGGTCCTAATATAGGTTCGACAGAGTTTCGTTAGGGTTTCGTCCTATAAGCTGTAATCTAAGCGTTTTAGCTTAGTCTTATAAATCTTTTAGCCTCTATAGCTTTTCTATAGTAGCTTAAGTAGCTACGTAATTAATATTAAGATCAGTCAGGGTTAAACCCTAATTAGTCGTAATTAGGATTTCTTCTGTAATACAGGGAGGGTTCGGTACCTCTTTAATAGAGGGAGTAAAACAGGTCCTTAGTGCTATTTCTCCTAGGTAATCGAAGAAGAAGAAACAGAAATTATAAGGATATACTCTATAAGTTAGGATAGAGGCCTGTTAATTACATCAGATCAAGAATGGATTGGGGCCGGAGACGCCGTGAGAATACTTTCTAAATGATAGTGGGGCTGAGACATGTGAAAATGTTGGCGTTGCGGGTGAATACTCCGTACCCAGTTTATCCGAGCTGTTTGATAAATCAATCCGTGGATGACCAAGGAAATTAGTATGATCGGAGCAGTATCCGCCTTCGCGCACCCACCGCTTTCGCTTATGGGTGCGCCCACAATCTCCGTCATTACGCAATCCCCGTCACCTTGAAATTTGTATGGCCTCACCATACAAAAGGTACAGTGATGTTCCATAAGTTTTTAACACACCCTAGACCCACATCTCCTACCGCCTGCTTAATTAGCCTACCGCCTACCTAATACGCGCTGATAGAAACCGCTCCAAATCGGCGCGTCGCGTAAGAATCACCATTTTATGCAATATTTCCACAGGCAGCTTTACAAACTATCTACTAGTTTCTACTATACACTACCTACTGCTATCTATCCGTTTTAATTGATATGGCTCGATCAAAGGAGCTTACACCTACCCTGCGCGCTCGCATATGCGAACTGCACGATATTGGCTGGGGTTATCGCCGCATTCAGAAGCGATATCCCTGGATTCCCCTCTCGACGGTGCGATATACGATTATCAAAGAGGCAGAGAGACGTGACGGTGTCTCGAAGCCACGCAAAGGCCGCCCAAAGAAGCTTACTGAGGCTGATAAAGAGCGAATTATCAAGGTTATCGATGAGAACCCTCGCGTTACCTAGGAAGATCTGCTTACTGAGGTCGATCATAAAGTGAAATACGCCTCAATTCGACGCCTACTTAACGCTGAAAATATGCGTAAATAGCGCTGCAACTGGCGGCCTTACCTTGAAGAGATTCACGCGGCGAAACGACTTCAATAGGCTTATAGATATCGCTTATTTACACCTGCTGACTGGGCCCGTGTTTATTGGTCTGATGAGTGTACTGTTGAGCGAGGCATTGGTATACGTCGTGAATAGACCTTTACGCGCCCTCGAGATCAAGCGCGTGAGGGCCAATGCCAGGGTTTACTACACCGTGGGAAGCAGGTTAAGTAGATGTTTTGGGCTGCTTTCTCGGCTACTCGACGCACCGGTTTAATACCCCTTTTCGGCGATCCTGAATCAGAGAGAGGGGGTGTTAATCGATTCGTGATAGAAGAACTATATCGTCGAGTCTTACCTACCCTTTTGCCCGCTGAAGATGGGATTTTTATGCATGATAATGCATCTACTTACACTGCATACGTTGTGCGTGATGCATTACAAGAGATGGAGATTGAAGTGATGGTTTGGCCGCCTCATTCGCCTGATCTAAATCCAATTGAAAACCTCTGGGCCCTCCTAAAAGCAGAGATCTATAAGATTCGACCTGATCTACTGCACATGAAGAATAATGATGAGACTAAGCGAATCCTGGTGGAAACTGCGCAGATTGCATGGCAAAATATCGATATGCGCCACCTAGAACACCTTTCTGAGACCATGCCTAATCGGGTGCAAGCTATAATCGAGTCTGATGGGTGGTATACGCCTTACTAGGCCTCCTGTATGCGTGCGTGGCTAGACATCTAGTGATTTATCAATTTCATGGAGTTTTGGCGGAGGTTTTGCGACCGGCAGAATATTATGTAATTAGGGGGTGTGGGGCTATGTGTTAAAAACTTATGGAACATGACTGTACGTAGACATTGACATCTCCCACGGGACTCCCACCGTGGGACCTGGGACTTCCCGCCGTGGACGGGAGTTGGGACTAAGCTTTAGTCCCATGGGCGGGACTAGAAGGGCCGTGGGACTCCCATGGGAGTATGGGACTTCCCACGGGACTGTAAACAGTGCAAACAGTTAAGTCCTGCCACTTGCATAAATTGTGCGCTTTTCCTAGTATTTTTAAGTATTACACTTACCATATTACTCTAGATAGCTCTACAGATCCTTGATAGAGACTCAATAAAAGATAGGAAATGTAAGTTTATTCGTATGTTACATCGTAGTCATCTAAATTTCTTGGACGTTTCCTTGCCCTTCCAGACGTCCGCATTTGACTGTAGCTCTCCTTATCCTGTGGCAAAGGGGGTAGTTGAGGTTCAGTCTCATCTTCTTCTCTATAGGAATCCACACTCTTTCGTCTCTTTCCTAGAGCTCGCTGGCTACGTTGGGATGCAGCGGATAGTATATAGGCGTCGAAAGGAACGGAGTTTACCTTATGTATCTTATCTTCAGCCTCATCTTCACCTTCACCTTCATCTTCATCTTTATCTTCGTCTTCGTCTTCATCCTTATCCTCTTCATTGTCGCTGATTGGAACCGGGGTAAACTAGCCCAGTTTTGCCTCTCTTCGTAGCGCTGCTTGCTGTCTCTCTTCGGCGGTAGGCTCTTCCTCCTCGTCGGATTCACCTGTAATATCTGTTGTATCAAGATCAAACTCGGAGATACAGCGATACATTATGAGGTCTTGTACAGTGGTCTCGTTAAGACGACCCCGTCGATAGTGGCATACGTCACGAGCAGAGTTAAAAAGACGCTCCACACCAGCACCGCTAGCAGGGATAGTAAATATATCGCGTGCTATGCTTGCGAGTGTAGGATATTGATGCTTATGCTCCCTCCAGAAGTCACAGGGATTCTTGTTTAATGTGCCTGTTAAAGAAACGTTAGAATAAAAAACAAGCGGATATTCGAATAGAAGAAATATACCACTATTAAGATAATATGTAAGCTCATCGTCAAATACAGGGCTAGTTCGTTTTTCTTGGGACTGGGAGGGCTCGGAAGGGTTATCATCCAAGAGCAGTTCAATGTCATCCTTCTGCTGGGTAGAAGGTCGGCTAAACTATGACTGCTCTGTCTCCTTTTGGCGCTGTTGGTAGGGCTCGAGGTATTTTTCTATATAGCCTCGGTAGGTCTTGCGCCATTAGTAGTTATTATCGGACTATTCACGCTTCGAGAAGAATTGCAGCTTGTACCGCGGCGCAAGGATAGTGCTGATTGCATAGAGATTACCATAAGCGTCAGTCTGGCTATAATAGTCAGAGAGCTTTTGACGGCCTGCTTTAAGCGCCCTACGCATAGTTGCCTTCCAAGGAACCCGTTTCCGCTTCAGTTGGCTAATAGAGAAGTCAAAATGGTCAAACAGCTTATTGTAGATTCTAAAGATCTGATGGATTGTAATATCTTTGATCTTAGAGATAGCCGTGGTCCACTAATGAAAGGGTTGGGTGATACAAAGAAGGTAGTCAACCTGCCGCCACTCTTCAGTGTTTAGTTTAAACTGAGGATAGTTATGCTCACTGCAGTACTCATCATACGCCTTTAAGAGCCGCTTAGCGCGCTGAAGCATAAGGAATGTTGAATTCCACCGCGTTTTGACATCCTGGATAGGGAGAAGCTTTAGTTCTTTACTTTGAAGGTTCAAGAACGCTTCTCGGCGCTAAGAACTAGCGTTAACACCTATAGCTAGGCCACGGACCTAATATTAATAAGTAGATAGGTCTTTAAAAGATAAGATAAACTGATAGATATAAGGTAAGACTTACTTTTGCAAGAGTATAGATAATACCTCGCTTTCGAAGGTGTTTCAGGGACATATCCTGTTCAGCTGACCACTGCCGATCTATACTCTCATTCTTTGGGTTGAGCTTCATCATCGTGAGGAGATCCTTTAGGCTGAGTTGGATAACATGCGCTAAACAAGGAATTCGGACAATTGGTATATAGTTTGGAAGATCTAGGGCTTGCATTGACGTCTGTATGCTACCAACCAGAGTATTGTTATTCGATGCGTTATTAGTCGTAACAGCAAGCACCCGATCTATAATCTGATGCTCTTGTAGGCATTCTAATAGAACCTGGCTTAGATTAACACCGGAGTGCTTTCCATATAAGGGTTCAAAGCCTAGAAGGATCTCCCGGTACTCCCAGTTTTGGTCGAGGAAGTAACCAGTAATTGCTATAAAGGCCTATTGAAATAGAGATATCCAACAATCAAGAGCAATTGAAAGCTTCGTATTTGGTGGGAGGTCTGATAGGATACGATACTGATCTTCTTGCACGATCTTTCGAAGACGACGTCGAGCAGTTCGAGGGGTAAGGAGTGTAGGGTTTGACGTAGCTAGCCGAGCTATTGATATAAGGTCGGCAAGGTCTTTATGCGCAAGGATTTGAAAAGGAAGGTTTGATTTAGTGATAAATCTGACCTGACATCGTTTCTATTGCTCCTCACTGAAAGATAGCTTCGAACGTGATGTGTTTTCGGCCTAGATTAGAAGAGTATATTATTAGTTTACTAGAGTTAAACAGTGGAATATTTATATTACTATGTATTCGATTAATTACTGTAGTGTCTTCTGCCTTGCTGTATTATTTGTAGCTTTGATGTATGTTCCAGCCATGAAGTGGCGATTCATAGAATTAGTCCCGTTCGCAGTTCGCCCTGGGTGTGGAATAGTTTTTCCATATCTTCGGCACATAACCATTGCCTCGCCGGTGATATAGTTGGCCACTTAGTCAAAATGCTGCCAGATCTCAGCGGAGTGCTTTGTATCCTATCGCATCTTCTTTTGACGTGATCCTATCGTTATCGCAGCCTCAGTCTGTAACTACCAGATCACAAAGTCGTTTTTATTCATTTCGGTATATTTAACCCAGGGCTTCTTCCGATCAGAACCAAACCGCTCAAGGGTAGAAGGAAGAGTAAGAGGAGGTGTAAACTCAGAGGAGAGCGTAGGATATTAAGTTCGTTGATAATATGAACTCCCTGCTACGAAGGAGCTATCATCTAATTCGATATCGGTAAGGGGGGTCTATAGGATCACTCTGATAGAGAGGAGGAGGGCCCAGCGTCAGAAAATTGGCTGAATTGAGATATAGTTAAAGAAGAGAAGAGTGTGTAGCTAGGGGAGTTGAAAGAGAAAGGACTTTACCTTATAGAGAATTAGTAGTTGCGACCGGAGGAATTCAATAATATCCAGGGTGAATTCAGCTGAAAGATACAGTTGATCTATTATAATTGATAAGGAGACCCATAGTAGGCACTCTTCCGATTGGTTAGTCCCGTGGGAAACTCCCATACTCCCATAGGAAATCCCATAGGACCTTGTAGTCCCATTGATTTTCGGTCAGACCACGCCCCCCGACTTTCAAATTAGATAAAAAATATTTCACCTATATTTCAAACTGCTATTTCTGCACCCTCTTATATTACAAACTTACTAGTTTTGAATGTGAGATAGAAATTAGATAGCGTATACTACTATAAACACTTCTGATTAGCTAGCTTTCTTTTAAATAGAGCAGCATTAGTATTAAACAAAGAGATCTCGTTAGGGATGGTGCTGCGGTACTGACATAGAATATATATTTCCTGCTCTATATATTTCATCTACCGACATATCTTCTAAAATAATCATCCAGTGATTAAAATACTTTAAAAAAGATAGGAATCTTTAATTTCCAATACCTAATTAGCTATATACAATTAGATTTCATAAAATTTCCTAAGGAATATAGCTGAGTTAAGGGAGATGTTAAAGTAGTATACAAAACACTGTTTAATAACAGTAAAAAATTCAGATGAATCATCATTTTATCCATCCTATTCGGGAAAATAATGCAAAAATATGAGCTTGGCGGGACTCATAGGAGTCCCGTGGGACTCCCATGGGCGAACTAAGAGACTTGGTCCCGTGGGATTGATGGGACTAAGGTCATGGTCCCGTGGGAGTGGGACTAAATTTTTA